GAAGGTGCGCCCGCCCCCCCCCCCCCCCCACGCACTGCAGGGCCCCCGCCGGCCCTGACCTGCCCGCCCTGCTGCCCCCAGGAACTGTACCAGCGCTGTGAGCGCTTGCGGCCCACACTCTTCCGACTGGCCAGCGACACAGAGGACAATGACGAGGCCTTAGGTGAGCTGCAGTTGGAAGGAGCTGCCACCAGGGGGCCCCCTTCTCCAGCAGTGACCTTGGGTTTCTCCACTTTGAGGAAGAAGGAAGCGGAGATCAGGGGCCGATGTGCTTTAGAGACCCTTTGGGTCAAGCCCCTTCGCAGACACCTTATTTACTCCCCGTAAGCTGCACAGGAGGGAGAATTGTCCGTGTTTCACAGCTGAGGCTCAGGGAGGGAAGTGACCTGTCCAGATCAGAGAGAAGAACGGTGGCAGAGCCAGGGTGGACCGGAGGCTCTCTCCCTCCAGACAGTGCCTCCCCAGTAAGGGTGAGCTCGAAACCTAGAGCAAATGCCTCAGGCCTGAGCACTTCCAGAGCTGGGCCCCGTGGCTCCTGCTAGCCACACGTCAGGGTCTCGTCCTTTTTTGTGCCACCACATCGGCCAGGACCTCTCGGGCAGCAGTCTAGGTACCATCTCAGCCTCCGTTCCTCAGGAGTTCCCTGAGCGCCTCCCATGTGCCAGGCACCTGGTCCCCACCCAAGAGGCTTGCTGCTCAGATCCCTCTAAGCCTTGACCCCCAGGAGATGACATCAGTGAGGGCCTAGTTTGTGCCGGGCACTGTTCTGGGCCCGGGGGGGTATGGCAGTGATCAAAATCAACAGAGCCAAATCCTCATGGAGCTTGTAGCCTCATGAGAGGAGACAGACAGTAAAGCAAGGGTGTGAGCGGGGCAGTTTGTCAGGCGGTGGTAAGGGGCTTGGAGAAAAACAGAGGCGGGACTGGTGGCGCGGGCTGGGGGTTAGAGAGGGCCTCCCTGAGGTGAATTGGATAAAGGCTTGAAGTAGGAAGCCATGCAGCCATGCAGAGATCCGGGGGTCTCCAGACAGCAGAGCCCGCGTGGAGGCCTGGAGGCCGGGGCACACCTGTGTGTTTGGGGGCCGGCACGGGGCAGCGTGGAGGGGACTGGGCGAGGGCAGGTCGCAGAGGGCCTTAGTCTGAGGAGTCGAGGTGGGCTGCCCCTGTGCCCCACCCACGAGGCTTGAGATGACTGTGGGGTGCTCATCCCCCCGCCCCGGAGGCCCCCACATTCTTTCAGCCTGGCCTCTCCCCTCCTACCTGTTCCAGCGGAGATCCTGCAAGCCAACGACAACCTCACCCAGGTCATCAACCTGTACAAGCAGCTGGTGCGGGGCGAGGAGGTCAATGGCGATGCCACAGCTGCCTCCATCCCTGGTGAGGAGGTGGCAGGGGAGCTGGGAGGGCCCCCGAGTCGGAGGGCCATGGAGTCCTGGCTAGGGTGCTGGTCACGGAGCTTGGTGGCCCCTTAAGATGGGGGGCCCCCGCTGAGAGAGCTGGGGGTGGAGTCTGTGCCAAGCCTGCAGCTGCAGGGGAGGAGGTCTGGATGTGGTCGGAGGGGAGGGAGCCGAGGGTTTGGCAAGGACAGGCAGAAGAAGGAAGGCCTTTCTTTCACTTGACAAGTCTGGCACCTGTTGTGTGGGGCTAGGTCACACCCCCGAAGCTTAGTTTAATTATCAGAAGTGGGCACGGAGAGTTTGATACATCAGCATTACAGGCTGGGCTCCACTCAGGGTAAAGTGACAGCCCCCCCCGGGAGAGGTTAGAATTGGCCCTGTTTGGGAGAGGTGGGGGTGGGGTACTACACAGAAACATCAGAGTCTAAGAGGGGCCTTAAAGGATGGGAGGCAATTGGCCAAGAGACAGGGAAGAAGGAAGTACATTCTGTGAGGAAAGGACACCATGTGCCAAAGAAGAGGCCTGGCAGGCAGATTCGGGGCAGAGGGAGTGTGGCCAAGGAGGGGAAATTTGCTGCTCCCAGACCCCAGGGACTCTGAGTGTCCTCCGCCCAAGGCTGGCCTGACTCTCCTTTCCCACCCCAGGGAGCACCTCGGCCTTGTTGGACCTCTCAGGTCTGGATCTCCCTCCGGTGGGCACCACTGACCCAGCCACGCCCACCCGCCCTGGTGACCAGGCCAGCCTGGAGCAGCCCAGCACCTCAGTTTCCCTACTTGACGATGAGCTCATGTCTCTGGGTGAGGAAGGGGCGGGGCCCAGAGCAGGGCAGGCTCTGCTGCAGGTGGGGGGTGATGCCCCCAGCACACGAGGCAGCTTTCAGAGCGCAGTCAGATCAGCGTGTTCCTCCTCCTCCTGTGAGTCGTCTGGAGGATGGGGGAGAGGCATCAGGCCCATTTCACAGCTGAGGAAGCTGAGGCTCAGGGAAATGAGGGAGCTTGTGCCAGGTCCTACAGTCAAAGGGTGAGGCTGGTGGGACTTCCCTGGTGGCGCAGTGGTTAAGAATCCGCCTGCCAATTCAGGGGACTTGGGTTTGAGCCCTGGTCCAGGAAGATCCCACATGCCGCGTAGCAACTAAGCCCCTGTGCCACAACTACTGAGCCTGCGCTCTAGAGCCTGTGAGCCACAACTACTGAGCCCGCGTGCCGCAGCTACCAAAGTCCGCGCGCCTAGAGCCCATGCTCTGCAACAAGAGAAGCCACCGCATTGAGAAGCCCACGCACCACAACGAAGAGTAGGCCCCGCTTGCTGCAACTAGAGAAAACCCGCGCACAGCAACGAAGACCCAACGCAGCCAAAAATAAATAAATAAATAAGTTTATTTAAAAAAAAAAGAATCCACCTGCCAATGCAGGGGACACAGGTTCAAGCCCTGGTCTGGGAAGATCCCACATGCCGCAGAGCAACTAAGCCCACGCACCACAACTATTGAAGCCCACACGCCTAGAGCCCGTGCTCCACAGCAAGAGAGGCCACCACAACGAGAAGCCCACGCACCGCAAATAAGAGTAGTCCCTGATCGTCGCAACTAGAGAAAGCCCACGTGCAATAACAAAGACCCAACGCAGCCAAAAAAAAAAAATTTTTTTTTTTTTTTTTTAAACCGGTAAGGCTGGCATCACCTCTGATAAGCCAGCCACACCTAGGCTCTGGCGGCCTGAGGGAAAACAAAGGGATTTCCCTGTAGCAGGTTAGAGCCTAGAATTGGGAGCTCCCCAGGCAAGTCAGCATTTCCTCGCCACTGAGAGAAAGAGGTGGGGAGCTCTGGAAGCTCCAGGGAAGCCCATGCAGGAGCACAAGGCATTCTGTGAGCCACGCTGGTCCCAGGCCAGGCCTGCAGTCACTATGGCGGGGTCGGGGCTCCAGAGCCCAATGGGGAGCAGGCTCATCCCTGGGGAAGAAGCAGAGGGCGCCCAGCCGGCCAAGCAGTTTTAGAGTTTGCAGCTTTCAGGCGCAGCAGCGCCCCCTGAGAGCGTAGCAGCAGGAGAGCCTCAGAGCAGCCTCCTCACAATGGCCCGAAGTCGTGAAGAAATAGAGGTGATCGGGCTCTGTCAAGGAGATCTTGCCCTTGTCAAGGAGTCTCGGAGGATATGTTGGGAAACTAACTTGGAAGCCAAGTCAGACTGTGTTCTCCTGAGTTAGTTCTGAGGTGAAAACCACACCGGACGGACTCCAAGAAGCAATGGTGTGCCGGGGTCCCGGCGGGGTCTCCCCTGACCGCAGCCTCCAAGCGCTGCTGTGTCTTAACCCACCCTCCACTCAGCCCAGAAGACGGTGCTGTCAACGTCCCTGGTCTGCAGATGCCAGAGCAAGGCTTCGAAAGGCTGAGTGACTTGCCCGACGGGGCACCAGGCTTTGCACGAGGCCCTCAGATCCTGAAGCCTCACTCACAGCTGCTCTGACTCAGCTCATCAGCCGGGAACGGGAAGTGAGGGCCTGGAGCGGGGAAGTGAGGGCCTGGAGCGACGAGCAGGAGACAACGGGGTCAGCGGACCAGGTCAAGTTCCCCTGTGCGGGCCCGTCAACCAGCACCCCCCGAGGAGGCCCTGACCACAGGGTGTTGCGGGGGCTTCCGGAGGAGCCCCACCCACCTGCGCCCTCTTCATTCAGAGCCAGGGGTGACTCAGGGAGAGAGGACCCTGGCCCCGCTTGAGAGGTCAAGATGGCCCAGTGACCAGAAAGCACACACAGGCTCATCTTCCCCAGCAGAGCCTGCGCCAGGCGGCAGCGGGAGCATGTGGCCCAGACCCCAGCGAGGCACTGTGTGCTTTGCACTTCCTGTCCCCCGGTCGCTTCAGCAGAGCCCTGAGCCTCCAGCTTCCTCTGGTTGCTACTGAAAGCAAAGAAAATGTGGGAACCAGAACCAGAAGTGGCATGGCAGCAACCACCCAGCTCCCCAGCTCGGGGGAGTGGAGGAAGCCTTGGGACCACAAAGGGGGCTCATCCTAAACGGTTCTCTGTGGCAGGAAGCGGGAGGGGAGGGGTGGGGTAAGCAAAACGCACTTCCCGTCTGCCAGAGAGGGCGTCCCAGCGCCGGGCAGGCACCGCGTCTGAATTGTCCCATTCAGTAGTGACAACAGTCCTCTGATGCAAATGCTGCTGTTGTCTCCGTCTTACAGAGGAGGCACAGGAAGGTTGCCACCAGCCCAGGGTCACACAGCTGGGTGGCAGAGCTGTGTTTGAGCTCCAGTAATTAGGCCTTGCTCTGTCCAAGTCCAGACTCTGCCGCTTTCCAATTGTGTGACTGTCGGCAGGTTACTTAGCTCCTCTGAGCACCCGTTTCCTCATCTCTAAAGGAGTCGTGAGAACCCCACATCCACCTTGTAAGGCTGTGTGAGGATTGAGACCCACGTCTGCAGTGCCTGACCCGGGGCTGTTAGCCTCCACTGTGTTGTCCCTGGCCTCAGAGAGGCATGTCCAGAGGTAGAGACCCAGCAGTTGCAGCCTCCCATGCCTCACCCTTGCCTGTCAGGCTGGACCTCACTTATTCAGGCTTTGCTACAAACAGGATAACTTGGCTTCTCTTTAAAAACCAGGGTGAACTTGGCTGGGGGTGTGCTTCAGGGCGGGCAGAGGTCAAACTGGCTGGTGACCTGTTGCCCTCTACTGACCAGCAGGTGATGAGCAGGCCCCTTCCAGAAGGGCCACCACCCTCCTTTGCACCAGTCAGCCAGCCTTAGCATGTGCCAGGGCAGACAGGGCCTTTACAGTCTGCCCAGGCCATCCACGTGGTGTGCTCGGACCCTGCGGCCCAGCCGGCACCTTGCCCCTGGTTGCTCAGATTCTGGGCCGGGCCTGGGCCCAGGGCCTTGTTCACTGCACCGCAGTGCCCTTGTGACGCTCAGAGGGTGTCATCCTGGGCACAGGATGGTGACCCCTGCCTGGCTAGATCTGAGTTTACGGACCTCACGTGGTGTCTCCCACAACTCTCTCTCTCTCTCTCTCTCTCTCTCTCTCTCTCTCTCTCCCCCCCCCCCCCCCCCACGCACCCGCAAAAGCACACGGGCTAACA